TAATGGTTCAGAAACTTGAAATATCACGAGTTCATATGGGAAACTGGGTTAAGCTAACCATGTTAAGCTAACCGTGTTAAGCTAACTGTGTTAAGCTGACTGTGTTAAGCTAACCGTGTCAAGCTGACTGTGTTAAGATAACCATGTTAAGCTAACCGTGTTAAGCTAACCGTGTTAAGCTAACCGTGTTGAGCTAACCGTGTTAAGCTAACCGTGTTAAGATGACCGTGTTAAGCTAACCGTGTTAAACTAACTGTGTTAGTTAATTGTGGTAAGCTAACCGTGCTAAGCTAACCACCTGTGTGCGTACTTTGTGTGTTTGGTGACAAATAGTGAAACTGAGTGTTGTATTTCATACTGTTCCCTAACAAAATAAGACCTAATATAGCTTTAAATGGTTAACTGTATATGTAAACTGCTGATTCTGAGAAGGGAATTAAATGTTTGTTGTGGAATTGTAGTAATTTTCCGACTTTTACCTTGAATGCCTGTACTGGGTTAGGCAGGGAAATCTAGATTTTTTTTCACCAGCCACCACTGGTGGTAGGTTAGAGGAGAAAAAAACCCCAAAACTCCTCTTTCTGTTTGTGTTTCGGGGCCTCACACACGCCTCCTCCCACCCTGTCAGACTTCCAAACACATGTGTGGGAGCGATATAACGCAGGTCTATTATCAGGGCCTGAAATAACATGAAGGAAATGTGGGGGGTTTGAGGTGTGGGTACTGTATTGATCACAGTGTGCTCGCGTTTCCCCAAACTGACTCGTTTTTGCTTCTGCTGCTTCTCGTCTGTGTTTCATCCTCCCGTCTTCTGGGGAAAACAAAATGCTGAACAAAAGTGATTCGGTTTCCTTTTGCCTCCGCGTAATTGTCGGCCCACTTATGCACCGCGGTTCTTCTCGGTTCCTCTCGGTTCCTCTCGGTTCTTCTGCATAGGAGAGATAACTTCTCACTCCTCTAATATAAACCATCTGCAGCTACTCACTCTACAGATGAGGGAAGACTCAGGTTCAAAAGATAATTTATTATAACAAAAAAACGCACTCAACAGGAGTGGAAACGAAGTACCAAAACAAGATTAACAAGGGTTTGAACAAATAATCTAAATATAATTGCTCTAATGAGGCGGACAAAGCATCAAATAAGTAAACGAGACTATGAGCAAAGTATAAAATAAAGTAAACAAGACTATGAGCAAAGTATAAAAAAAAGTAAACAAGACTATGAGCAAAGTATAAAATAAAGTAAACAAGACTATGAGCAAAGTTATCAAAATAAATTAAACAAGACTATGACCAAAGTATAAAATAAACAAGACTATAAGCAAAGTTTAAAATAAAGTAAACAAGACTATGAGCAAAGTATAAAATAAAGTAAACAAGAATATGAGCAAAGTATCAAAATATAATCGCTCTAATGAGGCAGACAAGGCTGTGAGCAAAGGTTCAAATAAAGTAAACAAGACTATGGACAAAGTATTAAATCAAAATCACTCGAAAACGAGGACAAAAGGACGAGGTTCAAAGTAACAAAGAAATACTCACTAGGATAAACTCTAGGAGGCAAGAACTGAAAAGAATCAGAATCAGAATAAGGTTTATTGCCAAGTAGGTTTTTGACTTACAAGGAATTTGCCTTGGTGTTTGGTGCACAACACTTCTATGAGAAGCAAGGAAATACAATGTAGAAATAAAAATATAGAACGGAAAATATCAAACAAAAAAGTACAATCAAAGGCGCTCTAGAGAGGCACAAGGGATCAAAAAGCAAGGTCTATGATTTTTATGATTTCGAGGGTTATACAGTAGTCAAAGGACGGAAAAACTGGCACAAGACAAGAGGAAACTCAGACTATTTAACCCTATAATGCCATGTTTATCATATTTGATTCATCCGGTTTCTGAAGTCTTTTGCATCTGAGACTTTCTGCATCATTCAGTGGTAAAAGCTTTGCTCAAACCCCTGTTGTACACATTCAGATATACCTGATAACAGCCAGTAGAAGACTACACCAAAATACATTTTTGCATTATTACACGCTAATTTGATCAAAATAGTTTCTGTTTTTTTTCTTCATATGTTGTTGAGGGGCCAAAGAAAGACTTCAGACTAAAAAAATACAATATTCTTCCTATTTTTCTTGGATCAGGCTTTAAAGGGTTAAACACATGAGGGAAGGGAACCCCAGGGGAAAACAATAGGTGATTAAGGAAGACAATCAGACATGTAAAACCTGAAACAAGGGGATGAACCTTTAGAAATAAACCAGGAAATGACAAGACAACATGGAGACAGGACAAAAAAAAGTTGTCTCGAGGCTTTTAGGACATGATGTCATCGCCTGCAGTGTGAAAAGTTGCACATCAAAAGTTAGCTGAGCGATAATATCAATCCCACGAGAGCTTTTACAACACTTATGAATAGATAAAGGCAGGAAGTAATATTCTTCCAGGAAATCACGGCGCACCAGCCTGTATTAAATAAGCACGCCCCTCAGAGATGGACTGTTTGGTATAAAGCTCTGTAGCCTTTTTATTTTGACAAAACAGAGGCACCAAAGTAATTTTCTACCCCGGCTTTCTCATTGATAGCTTAAATTAACAAACCACAATGCTATTGTCCCTGTAGTCTTCCTGTTTATTCTCCTCGTTTGTCCATATAATTTTATTGTGTGAGTAAGGTGAGCAAAGCGTGGGAGCATGACTCGAATGCGTTCAGGTTCTCTCCCTCTAAAATACCAGCTTTTTTATGCTTTGTTTCTTCTTTCTTCTGACATTTGTGGCTGTTTAAAGGTGCACAGCAGATCAAAAGATGCTAAAATAGCTCCCTGTTCTGAGCGGTAGATGGAGGTTTGGGTGATTTCTGCAGGTCTGTTGTATTAAACGAACACAGTTAGCACATAATTAGGACCTTGAAAAGCTAACAATGGGGGTGTGCATTAAAATAAACAGGCTATTCTCAGTCACGGGGAATTATTCAATCATTTCTACGATTAATGGGCTCCCCAAACACTCTCAGCATTTGAAATTTTTACGGCCAAATCCATTTTGCGGACAGATTATTTTACAAAATGTGTCATGCGTGCCTCATTTCTGCATCATGTATGCATGTGTGCATCATTTATAAGGCAGCTAGCAAAAAAAACTGTTGTTGTTTCATGGCAACTTGCAAACAAGTGCGTGTTTGTTCTCCATTTTATGGCAATCCACAGATTAGTCACAACAGAATGGAATATAAATGCTTTATATTTGAAATGTCAAGATATGAGTGTGCTGCTTAGTTTGTTATTCTGAGATGACTACTTGTGAAGAAGAAGAAAAACAGGACAGCTTGTGGACATTAAAGAAACGTTGGCCTGTTTAAGTAGACCCTCTCAGATTCACATTATAAGCACGATATAGGCTCGTTAAAGGGAATCCTCCATGTTGGACACTTGACTTTAATCTCAGAGCAAAACACGACTGGAATGTTAAACATCTAAAAGCGGCTGGTTGCATTTATTTTTATATCTGCTATAGTAATAATAGGCCGAAACACACGTTTGAACTGAACTTGGATTAACTTGGAGTACTCTAGAAACCTTTAAAAAAAAAAAAAGCATGTGGCTGGTTACCGTAGTAACGGTGAGGAGTTAAAGGGAGAACCGCCCTCTCAGGGGTACCTACCCTGTACACCTCCCTGATAAGGTGAAACGTTAGCCTATATATATGTATGTGTGTGTATATATATATATACAGTGGGGGAAATAAGTATTTGAGCCCTTGCTGATTTTGCAGGTTTGCCCACTTACAAAGAATGCTTATTTTTCCTCATCAGATGGTTATCAATTTTTATAAATTCATATGATGTGATTTTCTGGAATTTTCTTTGGGATTCTGTCTTTCACTGTTAGAACGTACATATGATTAAAGTTATAGATCGTTGCATTCTTTGTAAGTGGGCAAACCTGCAAAATCAGCAAACTTATTTCCCCCACTGTATATATATATATAAATATATTTGGCTTCATACTTGGCGTTTGTGCTGATAGTTTAGCTCTTTATTTATTTTTTTATAGCTGTTTTCCTCAGAGAGCAGCAGGTGAGCTCCAGGTTTCTGCCTGTTAAAGGAAGTTTTTCCTTGCCTGTGTCGCCTAGTGCTTGCTCATGGTGGGAATTGTTGGGTTTCTGTAATTAACTTCAGAGTAGGTCTGACCTGCTCTGTTTGGAAAGCTGTGAGACAACTGTTGTTGTGATGTGGCGCTATATAAATGAAATTGAATTGAATTGAATTGAATTGAATTGAATTGAATTGAATTGAATTGAATTGAATTGAATTGAGCCTCAAGTTGAGCTTTAAACGTCTCTGTGTGGTCTGACACTCAATCTGCGGCATTAGGTTTCA